CGCTCGCCCTCGTTCTGCGCGTCCTCCACCACTGTGAGGGTGTACACGTCTGCCTCGTCTGCGACGGCGCTCAAGAAATCAACGGTGCCCGTGTCCTGCACCGTCATGCCGACGCAGGTGAGGTCGCGAACAGAGGTAAGCTGCCACTGCCACGTTGCGCCGTGCGAGACGAGCAGGTGGGCACGGTGCATGTTGGTGAACCCCCACGTGCGAATCGTGCAGGGGATGGACAGGCTGGGGTAGGCCGGTGAGTTCTGGCAGCGCCACTCCACCGTGCGCTGGGGCAAAATCAGGTCCGCGTGTTCGTAGACCTGGGGCATGAAGGAGATGTTGTAGCGCTTCCACGGCTCGACGGAGGTGATGTCCAGCGTCTGGTTGGGCAGGATGTGCAGGTAGCCCGTGCGGTCGCCAACCACCTCCGTGGCGGTGATGCGCGCGTGCGAGTTGTCGTCTGTTGGGTGCTGGAACACGAGATGAGCCGCACCATACACCTCCACGTACTCAAACTCAAAGTTGAATGTCTCCGTCTCTGGGAGCAGGAACGCCGCAGCGCCTGCCTGCCGCACAGATGCGTGGTCTGCATCCGTCTGCATGCGCGACGAGCGACCGCGGTTGTCGGCGCGGAGGTTGCGGAAGTTGTTGGGCCCAACCAGGTACGCCAGGCCCGAACCGCCGTTTTCCCAGCCCGTGCCACCCTGGACGTCTGTCTGGTCGCTGTACCACTTGCCGCTGGCATAGTGGGCGATGATGAAGCCACCGCTGCCACCACCGCCGTTGCCGGCGCCGTTGCCACCGATGACTTGCATGCGACCCGAACCCGTGAGCGAGGTGGTGAGGAGGTAGATGTTGCCGCCCGCACCGCCGCCACCGCTGCCACCAGCGCTGTCTGCGTTGGCGCGAACAGTACCGGTGATGTGCGTGCCCGAGGGCCCGTACACGTGCGCCTGAATGTAGCCGCCACCGCGCGCACCGCTGCCTGACAGACCACCGCCAGAGCCCCAGACGGATGGCATCTGGTTCTCCACGGGCGGGGTGCTGGCGGCGTATCGGTAGTAGATGGTGCCCACGGGAGCTGCTGCGGTCGTGTATGGGGTGCGGCCACCGCGGCCGGCGTTGCTACCGCCAGTTCCGGCACCGCTCGCTGCAATGCCCGCAGCAGGGCCGTAGGTTGCAAAGTGACCCTGGCCGTCCACCGTTACC